TCATGAATTGTGTAACGTGTTTCTATTTTTAGGTACATTTCCCCCTGTTGAAACTTAGGGGTGTGCTGTTTGTTACGTAATTTCTTTTTATTATAAAATCAGTAGCCAATTATAAAGTTTATATTCAATATATAGACGTGATAAATTGATGTCCATAAAAAATTACGTAATAAACGGCACATCCCTTAATAAAGAATTTAACAAAAGGAGGAATTTGACTAAAGAGATTCACTTAAAGAATATAAAGGATATGAAAAAAATGTGAGATATTTAACAATCTCAGTAATTGATGCACATAGATTTATTGAAGGTCGAAAGTTTTGTATCGTTAAGAATGTAAATTATACTTTTCCAATTGATACTCAAGAGGCTTCACGATTTAATGAATCTATTAAACATATGAAGAGATTATTTAATTCTAATTATTCAGCACCTGTTGAAAAATTATTAATGCATGGAGCAAAAGTTCTTGAAATCGGATTAGCAAACTTTTCATTATTATTTTTTTTTTTATGTGAGTGATTTGATGATGAATATCTTTATAGAACAGGTGGCGGATTTTGGTTAGCGGATATGTCAAGAACATTCCTATGTCAATATTTTCGAGTTTAGACATCTCTATTATATTTCATCAGGTAAAAAGATCATTCAAAAGAAGATATGTTCATATATGTTACATATTAAAAGAATCATAATTAATAACCAGAATTGTTATATTTTCTATTTAGGAATGTCTACCAGAAAACTGCATTTCTTGAATATAATTATTGTCGCGGCTGAAGCTTGAAATTAGGGATCTCTAATTAAAAATATAACCCCTACCAAAATTCAAAACTAAATCCTAAGCTAACTATAAAAAAAAGCTAAAAAGATGCACCCCAAAAATTTTGAAAATTTTGAAAATTTCATATTAAAGTATTTAAAATTTCAAGTTTCAGCCGTTTCAAGTTTCATCCACGACAATTATTTTGATGAAATTCCATTTCCTGAGAATGTAAAATATTAACAAAAGCGTTTCCCGGTAGGGATGTTATATGGTCTGGTAAACTAAAAAACCACGGTTAGTCTAAGACTAGTCTGAAGCTAAAAACTTTGGGTCTGCTCTTAGTATTAAGACCAG